CTAAATTGTCTGTAGGGTATTTGTGTGAATAAGAGTGTATATGGGTGTTTCCCAGTACTGGGTTGCAGCTGGAAGGGCATCCGCTGTGTAAAACATATGCTGGATAAGTTGGCGGTTCATTCCGCTGTGACAACCCCAGATTAATAAAGCGACGAAGCTAAAAATAAAATGACTGAATGAGTTCAGGGTATTTTTTGTGTTATACTAATATAATTTTCAGAATAACAATTTTTTTTAGCTAAAAAGGCCTTTAGGTCATCACATTTAAAAATATATAACATTTTGAAACATTTTTCAGTGAATTTAGACAATAATCTGAAATAATATAACATTTTTTATACAGTTATTTTCACTAAAATAAGAGTTTGGTTAACAAACACCTTTAATATTTCTATTTGTCTACTATTATTCGTCTATTTGTTTATTTTTAACCGGCTTAAGTTTACCCTTCCTTAACCCTAAATACAGATTTGGCTTATTGCCCTTTTTGGTTTGGAAATTAGTTTTCTGTGCATGTATTTATGTGTGTATATGTATTTGTATATATATTAATTTATTTTATTTTCTTATTTTTATTTGTTTTAGTATGTCCTTGTCATTACTCTTCAGTTATTCCTTTTTATTGACACTGCTGTTGTTATTTCTGGCACTATTATTAATACTATTATTTAACAACCTGTATATTGGTTAGTATGTATATATATGCACTTTGCTATATGCTGATTGTCCACAGCATGTTTTTCTGTGTTCGAAAAATACAAAATAAAAGAAAAATTTGATGGAAGAAAAAAACAAACATCTTTAATAATAGAAAGATTATACATTTTGATTCAAATAAACTACAAAATTTCAACTAAATTAGATTTTTTTTAATGTGTGTCTTTATTTTTCCTCTTTATCAATATTTTATTTAATATTTAATAATTTGGGTTTACGTTATCTTTAGTTATGTTGTTAAATTAGCATAATTGAGTACAGCCCATTTTGAAAATTAATATTTTCCTCAATTTCTCAGTGAATATAGGCAGTGTATTTTTGTGCATTTAAACAAAACAGATTTATTAAACAGATATATTTATTAAAATAATATTTTTGTCACCGAACACATTTAAAAATTAAAAGATAAAACAATTAAATTCAAGCAAAATATTGCAAACAAAAATAAAAATACAACCTACCATTTTTTTGCCTCTTGATTTTTCTCCTTTTTTAGAAATTTGCATTTAATATTTTTTTCCATAACATATAAATTTGAGTGTGCTAGTTTTTGGAGCCTTATCATAAGTTATTTTGTTAGATTAGCTCAAGATTTGGCTTCAGTTCTGACTAAACTAATGTATATGCTCTAATATAATATTGTAAAGCTTCCTATTAAAAATATGAATTTAAAAGAGATTTGTGAGGGGTTTACTCTATGCTGAGCACTGTGTGTGTATATATATATATATATATATATATATATATATATATAAATATTATTAAATATATTGTATATAAGTGTCAAAATATTTTAACAGTAAGTAAAGTGGACTATTTTTAATGCAATTAAAATGTAAAAATCTGTGGTGATACACTCCTTCTGTCTGCAGTTAAAGTTAGTTTAGGCTCTGCTCTAAATAAGCCCCTACAAAGCCAGCGAAAGGTAAAAAATGAATGAATAAAAATAGGCCAGCAGATGAGGGGCTGGAAGAGCTTAGAGCAGAGGGGAGATTATAGTTGTGTTTGATCTTGCATTGTTGCGTTAAAAGTGGCATGTTCATTTAAGAGCAAAATAATTAGCTGCACTGGAGGGAAACATCTGTGCTAATTAAAAGCAGCCGTTATCTGTAGCATTCCTATTCCGCACACTGTACCTGTGTTTGTTTTATGAGTGTGTGTGTGTGTGAGTTTGTATGTGTGTGTGTGTCCATGTGTTTTTATGCAATAAGAAGCCACTAGGAGCCTAAATATAAGTGGTTATAACTGGACATTTCTGAAAGAATAAGTCATATTTAATCAAATAAACTGCATGCACAGCCTACCTAGAAATTTAAAGGTGTCCGAGTGCATCCAGAAGCAGAGCACTGTTGTATAAGACTGACAAGCTGTATTCTGTGAAAACAACTGGCTGGATGTACTTCATCTCTCTTATTACATGGCTATTTGCCACAAAACAAAAAACAGAGCCCAAATATTGTTCTGAGCTATAATAGTTCTTTAATTCTTTAATTAAACTCAAAGCTGACAGAAACTAAAACAGCTAATAGAGTATACATTAATCTGTGCATTATTCAGACACAAGATGGCGCTAAACAGTCAAAAACACAGCTGACAGAAACTAAAACAGCTGATGGAGTATACACTAACCTGCGCATTATTCAGACACAAGATGGCGCCAAACAGTCAAAAACCCAAAGCTGATAGAAGCGAAACTGACTGAATAGACATATACACTAACTTACATATTATTAATTCACAAGACAGCACCAAACCGTTAAAACTGTGGTGTGACAGAAAAGAAAACACAAATTAATATGGATGTAAACAATCATATGGATTTGAACGCAGGTAGTGATCGACATTTCCTGATGAGTATTATTTATCGGTTGTTATCATGCAATAACCTACCTACCATGTCTTGACTGACCAATCAGAATAGAGTATTCAAGACAGCCATGTAATAAAGTCATATTTAATACACTTTTCTAACTTAGAAAAGGAGTAAGCAATAATATTTGAGTTACTTTTGGAAAAAAAATGTTTCTTTGAGGAGTTTTAAGTGAGCAGTAAAGTACTTTCGTTATTTGTAATGTGTTACCCCAACACTGGAATTGAGTAGCCTATTACAGACAGCTGTGCAATTAGCTTTTATTTAATCAAATAAACGGCATGCACAGCCTAACTATAAATATTAAGGTGTACGAGTGCATCATTTTATGTATTTTATGCAGTAACAATTATGTGGCAGCGCTACACTGTCAAGGGTTCCCGCTCAACCCGAGGGACCGCAGACCCAAAAACGTGACGGACGACGTTGTTCCATGACTATTGCTCAGTGAAGTTAGATGAAGTTTTTTGTTCGTTTATTTTAATATCCTGATTACCGTGATTTTTACTCCTTGAAACCTGTTGTGTTGTGAAAAAAACCCGCCTGATCTTACGAGGAAACGTAAGTATTTTACATTTAGGCAGTTAAGTGGCTAATTTGTACGAATTCGTAAGAGTTCAGTCATGCGAAAACGTCCGATTTTAAAAAGGAGGCGTAGCATTTAACCCCAAGCGTCATTGGGTGATGAGCAAATCGTACAAATTAGATTGAATTAGCCACTAAATCAAATAGTTACGAATTGCCATGAGATTGCGTTAGAAAAAATGCAGCGCGTTTTCGTAAATTGTTTGCGTTGTGAGAAAAATGTGTTTTAATTCCATGTGTTTTAATTCCATGTGTTTTCTTAAATTGCAGCACGTTAAGCTTTCTTTGCCGCTGCATGTTCATTTTAATTCAGCAATTTATTTTTATAAAGTGAATTAATTCAAATCAAAAGTAACTCCGATTACATTTTTATTAAAAAGCAACTCAAATATTACTTACTACTATTCTAAGTAATTAGTAAAGTAACGCATTGAAACTATGAACTAGCGTTACTTGTAATGCGTTACCCCTAACACTAAATAAAAAAGTTACGAATTGCCATGAGATTGAGTTGGAAAAAATGCAGCACATTTCGTAAATGGTTTGCGTTGTGAGAAAAATGTGTTTTAATTGCATGTGTTTTCTTAAATTGCAGCACGTTAAGCTCTCTTGGTCACCGTATGTTCATTTTTATTCAGCAATTTATTTTTATGAAGCAAATTAATTCAAATCAAAAGTAACTCCGATTACATTTTTATTAAAAAGTAACTCAAATATTACTTACTATTATTCTAAGTAATTAGTAAAGTAACGCATTGAAACTATGAACTAGCGTTACTTGTAATGCGTTACCCCTAACACTAAATAAAAAAGTTACGAATTGCCATAAGATTGCGTTGGAAAAAATGCAGCACATTTCGTAAATGGTTTGCGTTGTGAGAAAAATGTGTTTTAATTGCATGTGTTTTCTTAAATTGCAGCACGTTAAGCTCTCTTTGCCGCTCCATGTTCATTTTAATTCAGCAATTTATTTTTATAAAGCGAATTAATTCAAATCAAAAGTGACTCAGATTACATTTTTATTAAAAAGTAACTCAAATATTACTTACTACTATTTTAAGTAATTAGTAAAGTAACGCATTGAAACTATGAACTCGCGTTAATTGTAATGCGTTACCCCTAACTCTAAATCAAAAAGTTACGAATTGCCATAAGATTGCGTTGGAAAAAATGCAGCGTGTTTTCGTAAATTGTTTGCGTTGTGAGAAAAATGTGTTTTAATTGCATGTGTATTCTTAAATTGTTGCACGTTAAGCTCTCTTGGCCACCGCATGTTCATTTTAATTCAGCAATTTATTTTTATAAGCAAATTAATTCAAATCAAAAGTAAATCCAATTACATTTTTATTAAAAAGTAACTCAAATATTACTTACTACTATTTTAAGTAATTAGTAAAGTAACGCATTGAAACTATGAACTCGCGCTACTTGTAATGCGTTGCCCCTAACACTAAATAAAAAGTTACGAATTGCCATGAGATTGTGTTGGAAAAAATGCAGCGCGTTTTCATAAATTGTTTGCGTTGTGAGAAAAATGTGTTTTAACTGCATGTGTTTTCTTAAATTGTTGCACGTTAAGCTTTCTTGGCCACCGCATGTTCATTTTAATTCAGCAATTTATTTTTATAAGCAAATTAATTCAAATTAAAAGTAACTCCAATTACATTTTTATTAAAAAGTAACTCAAATATTGCTTACTACTATTTTAAGTAATTAGTAAAGTAACGCATTGAAACTATGAACTCGCGTTACTTGTAATGCGTTACCCCTAACACTGGAATTAAGTATTCCAGACAGCTGTGTAAATAAGTCCTAATAATCAAGAAATCTACATGCACAGCCTACCTATGAATTTAAAGGTGTTCGAGTGCATCCAGAAGCAGAGCTCCTCGGTGTCGCAGGCGCATCGCCAAGGGTTCCCGCTCAGCCCGAGGGACCGCAGACCCCCAAGAGCCATCAAAAAGCTGACATTCAGCCTGTTCAGGTTATTCCTGCTGATATCCAGCACCTGCAGGACACTGGGAACAGAGAAAATCTGCGGGTGGATCTCCGAAAGCATTGGGTTATCAGTGAGCCTCAGCATCACCAAACTCTCCAGCGCACCGAAGGTCTGCTCCTGGATCCTCCCGAACAAGTTAAAGGACAGATCCAGGTATGCAAGCTTCCTCAGATTCCCAAAAGTGGACTCAGAGATGTGCGTTAGGGAGTTGTTGCTGCAGTCCAGGTACAGGAGGTCGGAGAGGTAATTGAGCTCGAGCGCGGGCAGGTCGGAGATGCGGTTGTTGGAGAGGATCAGCTGGCGGGTGGTCAGCGGGAGTCCGGAGGGGAAGTTTAGGAGGTCCTGCTCCGCGCACTGGACCACATGCTGGTCATCGCACACACAGCGCTCCGGACACCCTGGAGAGACAGAGGACACCGCGCGCGCCAAGAGCACCAGCAGGATCTGTGCGCGCTCCCGCCGGACACACGCTGCTGCGACCGCGCGCTTCATCAAGTCTAATTATGGAGGTTATTATTATGGAAATATAGCAGACACATGCTGCAAAAGCGAGCTTCATCTAGTCTGAGCAGGTAGTGTTGGCGAAACCGAGGAGATCCACTGAGAGGAAAAAGCAGACACTCTGATGACCCCTCAGTGAGAGAGGGAGAGAGAGAGAGAGAGAGAGAGAGTATTGGTTTGTATGAATAATATTATATGTTGAATAATAATATAATATATTGAATATTAATGTGATATATTGAATAATATGATGCAT